CACCACACCTGACCTCTCAGTGCATTTAGATGTGTGTGCTTTCCTGTATATAAATTATACCTCAGTAGAAAACAAGAAGTTAAAAGCCTCAAAAATAAAAAACAATAAAAATAACACATAACTGTGTGTGTGTGTTTAGAGAAAGTGCTCCCAGGATGTACTCCAAGCTAGTGATGGAGGTTGCAGAGGGAAGTGGTGCGCTGAGGCTGGGGAGAAAGTGGAGTGCTCTTTCATTCTTCCCTCTAAATTATTCTATATGGCTTGAAGTTTTTGTAATCAGCACAAACTACTTGTAAAAATGTTTAAAGCAACTCAAACCTTAAAACAAAAAAAGGAACACACACATACACAGAGATTCTCAGGCCCTACTCCAAATGTGCTGAATCAGAATTTCCACCAGGAACCCAAGCTCTCCTCCAAGCCCTGGCTCCCCACCATTGCGCTCTTGCATACCCCCAGGGACGGGTTCTTACTGCCTCCCAGGGCATTGGATGTCCTTCCGCCTGTGTTGCCTCTGGTCCTCCACCTTGAGTTGGGCTCCCCCTCTGGGTCTTTCCATCCTCCCCATCACCTACTGGGGCCCCCATGGTGCTCACCTACTGACAGGGAGCCGCGGGCCAGTTTGGGGAGCAGCCGGTCGAGCTGGCGGAAGGTGTGGAAGACATCAGCTGAATGGACGCGGTCCTGGGCCTGGCTTTGATGGGTGCGTGGCAGCGCCTCGATTCCGTAAAGAGTCAGGTAGCCGGCTCTAAGGGCAGCAGACAGACGGTCAGGGGTCCTCCTGGGACACTCACACACGGCCACAGCTACTCACAGAAGCTTCGTTCATACACCCAATGAGCACCTACTAATCCTACTGTGCGCCAGAGACCATTCTGGGCACTGAACAGTCGGCAGTGCCGGTATATTTCTTTAATAAAATATAAAACATATATAATATAAAATACATATATATTTTATATTAAACAATCTTCATTTGGAAAATAGCACCTTACAGTCCTAATGCTAGCTATCGAACATCAATGACAGCAATTTCAGCAGGAACTAATGAACAGTAGCTAAACTAACAGGGGATCCATCAAAAGTGCTTTAAGGGGAGGAGCACCAGCTGATGTTGTGCCAAGTCTCTGGGCATTCAGGACCTGGCTACGGGAGAACAGAATCAAACTGGCAGGTGCTCTGGACCCAAACCCTGGCATTGTGACCTGCCTCTCTCCTGGGATCCCTGAACGCCCACAGTCCCCCTGGCACTTCCAGGCCCCTGTGGGCTGTGGGTGGAGCCCTAGGGGCCAAAGGGCCACTCAGGAAAGGCTGAAATGGCTTTGGAGTCAGTTGGCTTCTGCCTGTTGTGATCATTTTCTTTCTGGAGCACCTGCAGCCCTCTCTCAGTAGGCTCAGTGGCCATCCAGCCTTCCTGGGCCATCTTCTCATAGAAAAGGATCTCTCTCTCTGAAAACTGAAAGTATCTTTCTTCAATTCCTGGGCCAGGTCTCAGGCCACATTCTTGTAGTGGTCACGGGTCTGACATGCGTGGCTCATGTTTTTGTGCACGGACTCTGGTGGAGGTCCAGGCAGAGAGCCTGGTGGATAAATGGACAATCAGATGTTGTTGACTGCAAAGCCTCTCTAGATTTCTCTCCCCAGGGACTGGCCTTCAGCAAAGCCAGGTCTAGTGCAAAGCCAGCAGGATTTGGAGTCCAAAGATCTGTGCTTCCTGACCTGCGGCTGGTCCCCACCACAGTGCTTTGGTGGCTGGACTGCTAGCCAGGGTCCCACTACTCTGAGCTTCTGTATCTTCTTCTGTCAAATGAAAGTAATGAACTTCTCAGCCAGCTCAGAGGCTTTTGGTAAGGCCCAAATGGAATAATGCACATAGAGAGCAATTCGGAAAAGACTGCAGCAAGGCATCTTACTAGGCGACAGGGGATTCTGCCTTTGCCCAGGTGAGTAATGCCCCTTAAATGGCAGATGGCAGATGTGTTATTCAGGCTGAGAGAGACTGTGGGGAGGAGGCTTCCCTGGATGGAGATTTGGAGGCGAGGCTTCCCCAGCTGAGGTCACCTGATCTTGGGAGCAGGGAAGGCTTTCCTGCGAGGAAGAAGTGAGATGATGGGTGCTCCCCCGTTCCTCTCGCCAGCACCTCATTTATATCCAGCTTGTTCCTGGCTCAACCCCCCGAGGAAGGTAATGCACCGTCTGGCTCCACTGCCATGAAGGGTTAGGTAAATAAGCACATGGCTCCTTGGGGAATGTGTCCCGGCATGGGCCACTGCCCTCCCCACAGCCATCCCGGCAGATTTATGGGCTTCAGGTCACCGAAGCATGTGCCACTTCACTTTCACTTCCCTGGGATTTCCAGAGGGGTAGGGGTTTCCTAAAGACCTGTGTCTGGTGCTCTGTGATGTCCCAGACAAGCCTTGAGCCCCTTTGTCAGGATCCGACCCCAGGTGTCACACTGTGGAGCCCCCTTCTACCTTCTCTTGCTCCCCAGTCCCCACCCCCACTTGGCATACAAGGCTTCCAGAAACTCCAGCCTCCCAGATGCCGGCCTATGTTCTTATACAGCATTGCGTGGGGATTTGTGGGAGTGGGCCACTGCGTCGACCAACTCAGTCGCCTCCCACCCTCCATGGAGCGACCCGCTCGGTGCAGGCCCTGGGCAGAGAGGAGTGAATCGGATGTGGCATTTGTCCACAGGGTCAGCTCTGGGGTGGGAAAAGATCCAATAGAGAAGTCCCACACTCTGTGTGCTGTCCTTGTATAAGCAACTGATGATCAATTCCCTTGGGATTCAGATCTAGAAAAGATTTTCCTTTTCCAAAGACAAAGAGAACTATGGGAGCTATTCATGCTGGCGTATGGCCTTTGTTCTCAGAAAACATGGCACAAAATCAATGTGCAAGGGTAGCACCCCTAAGAACCTGGGTATTTCACGCATCTGCCTCCCCTTTGTTTGCTGGGGTGGGGGTAATTACTGAGCATTCCGTATATGCATGGCATTGTACTAGATGCTGGAGATGTGGAATGGGTGAGACAAAATAAGACAAGGTCCTGGCTTCTAAGAGCTCACTGCACTGTACGAGGTACCCGGAAGGGACCAGTTATAAATGTAGATGGGAGTGTCTGCAGGCACAGAGTGGGTGAATATGACTAGGAATGGAGGAGGTCAGGCCTGGCTTCCTGGAGGAGGCAACACTATTAGGATAAGCAGGTGGATTTGCCAGATAAAATATAGGATGCCCAGTAAACTGAATTTCAGTTCAACAATGAATAATTTATTGTATATGTATGCCTCATGTAATATTTGAGACAGACTTAATAAGTTTTTTCTTGTTGATCTGGAATTCAAATTTTACTGGATGTTCTATTTTTTAATATTTACATTTAATTTTTATTTTTAAAGACAGGGTACCATTCTGTCACCCAAGCTGGAGTCCAGTGGTGTGATCATAGCTCACTGCAGCCTCGAACTCCTGGGCTCAAGCGATCCTCCTGCCTCAGCCTCCTAAGAAGCTGGGACTACAGGCATGCACCACTGTGCCTGTAGCTAATTCTTAATCAGCTAATTCTTAAAATTCTTAAAATTGTGCCTAATCAGCTAATTCTTAAAAATTATTATTATTTGTAGAAACAGGGTCTTGCTATGTTGCCCAGGCTGGTCTCAAACTCCTGGCCTCAAGAGATCCTCCTGCCTTACTTTCCCAAAGTTCTGGGATTACAGGTAGGAGCCACTGTGCCTGGCCATGGGTGTCCTGTATTTTTATTTGTAAATCTGGAAACCCTATGAGTAGTAGTTTGTACAAAAGTAGTGAAGGGCATTACAGATAGAGAAAACAGCATGTGCACACAGCATGAGCCCAGGATGAGAGGCAAGCGAGAAGCCGTTGGGTGGGAAAGTACAAGTATTTCTGGAGACTGGAAACTAGGCTGGCGCGGAGTGGTGGGGAGGTGATGCTGGAGAGGTCATGGGGGTCAGGGCTGGGTCCTGATATTATCCTGGAGCTTGGGCTTTTTCCTGTGGACAAAGAGTGTGTGAGAATTTTAATCAGAGAAATAGTCCATTTGATATTTTTATTTCTATTTAAAAAGTCATCTTAAAATATGCCTTTTATTTTTAGTTCTCTTCTTTCTAGGAGGTGGTATGCAGATCTTCATTTATTTATATACAAATTATAGCCATAAATATATTTATAATATAAATTATAAATTAATTAATGTAGTAATAAATGAACAAAAATTGTCAAGCCCAGTTTGACAGAGCCTCACCTGGAGAGTGGGCAGTTGTCACCATCTGAACAGAGGGGCAGGGATGGTGACCTTGGCCTCCCAGTTTGGGGCTGGCTGAGGGTGTCTTCCTGGCTGCTTATGATAGGAACTCATCCTACGATGGCCTAGTAAGAAATTATAGGGAGCAGAGTTTCCCTTCAAGGAAGGAAGAACATTCTAGTGGACTGTTTGAACTTGGTGACTATATCCCAAACAAGTAAAAGGAATGCTCCATTAGCTTCTGTCAAGAATGGTGCAGAGGACTAGGTGCGGTGGCTCATGCCTGTAATCCCAGCACTCTGGGAGGCCGAGGCAGGAGGATTGTTTGGGGCTAGGAGTTCAAAACCAGCCTGAATAACATAGCAAAATCCCATCACTCCAAAAAAATAATAATAAATAAAAATAAAAAAATAGCTGGGTGTAGTGGCCTGCGTCTGTAGTCCCAGCTACTTGGGAGGCTGAGGTGGGAGGATTGCCTGAGCCCAGGAGGTCAAGGCTACAGTGAGCCAAGGTCCTGCCACTGCACTCCAGCCTGGGGAACAGAGTGAGACCCCGTATTGAAAAAAAAAAAAAAAGATGAAGAGGGAGGGGTGCTTACTCTAAGAAGAGATGGGGCTGGAATTTGCCTTCAACTCCGAATTTTTAAGATGCTTCCCAGACATTCCCAGAGTTCAGGTAGCAGGTCAGGCCAGTTCTTGAAAGAGTTAAAAAGGCTCAGGATTACACATCTACAGAGGCAGAATGCAGAAGAAGCTTGTCCAAGTAAGAGCATGACCAGGTTTCACGACATCTGACATCGAATACCATTTTGGCCCTTTCAGACTTGCTTGAAAGTCTAAGGATGTGCCTCGAGTGACCCTACATGCTGAGAATTCACACTTGTGAGCTAGCAGGGCAGCTGGGCAGGCATTAATAGCTCCATTTCACAGATGAGAACACTAAGGCCAGAAAGAGGAAGTGTGATTCCCATGAGTCAACCCAGCCAGTTAGGAGCAGAGCTGAGGCTGTAGCCTGTGTCCTCTGACTGTGGGCCAGCATGCTTTCCTTGGCATTGCCCCTGACCCACGGACACCCAGCTTCAGGCGGAGCTCCCTCCCCAGTGCTGTTGGCTGAGAGTGAGGTGAGTGTATCTTTGGAGAGGATGGCAGAAATCACTGATGATATGATAGTGGAACACAATGGGAGCTATGGCTGGGAAGGCTCCCCTCCCAGTTTTTCCAGGAGAAGCCAGGAAAAAGCTCTGTGTGTGGGAAGGGGCCACCTGGGAGGCACCTGGGGGGGCCCTCTGTGACCCTCTGTGGAGGCTGAAGAACTGTGAATGCCTCCTCAAGCTGGTGTTTTGAAGCAACAGAGGACGTACTTCCAGGCTTCATGCATGGGCATCTAGCAGTGTGGGAAAATCAGAACTTTTGGGAAATGAGAAACATAAGTTAAAGCTGCATTTTGCCTCTGTTTATTTAAGCCATTCAAGAAGAAGGGAGGATATGTCTCCTGGCCCACAGTTCTCATACTCAGGAACCCTCATATCTGGGAGCTCTGTCATGTCAGTTGCATGTTTAAAGGACCTTTGTTCCAGAATCTTCTCCTGTACACACAGGAGTGCATGCACACACAAACACACACACACTTGCCATTAGGAAACGGGGGACTGGATTTTGAAGTGCAAACATTTGACAATAAGTAAAAGGACAAAAGTACTGTATGTACCTCTGCAATACAAAGTCCTCAGGTTGTTCTGCCTGGTGCTGTTATGCAGCCTGTGAATTGCCTGGAAGGGTGGGGGGCGGGCGGTCCCTCTCCCACATCCCAGGAATGGATTAAAGTCTCTCGGTGGGACTGAGGTCTAGGGTCTTTCCTTTCCAGCTGGGCCTGGGAGGAGTCAGGAGTGCACTGGATATAGGATTCTGGGGTCTTCTCCCATCACTCCCTTTTCCACAGAGACAATTGTGTTCCCAGCAGGGGTCAGTAAAGCAGTAGGACCACTAGGGGTGGGTGGGGGAGGTGGCAACTGGAGGTGATCAAAGTCTACGCGGAGTGAACAGACACAGGCGAGGTCTTCCCCTGAATGGATTTGTGAGATTTACTCTTGACTTGGGACTTCCAGGGCAGTCACCTGGATGAATTTCCAGCATTTAACGGTGGACAGACACAGGCCCTCCTGCCATTCGAGAAAACTGAAATGTGACTGAGCGGTCAGCTAAGCCTGGGTTCAGAGGTGAGAGGATGTTATCTGCAAACACCCATCTTTTCAGTGAGCAAAGACACATTTGGCTTGAGGCAGAGGACCTGGCCCTAGGAGACAAAAAGACCCCCTACCAAACAGCATTTTTCTCTAAATGCCCCTTGAATTGAGACACAGTTGCCGGGTCTCCTGCGGTCTATTCTCTGTGAGGAATGTCTTAGCTCCACAGGCTGGCCTCACCAATTGTCTTGGGATTAACCCTTGGCCATCCAAATCTTGCTTTCTCTTCTCTGTGTCTTCCTCCCAGCCCCCGTGTCACCTCTTGGGTGTCAAGGCATCTTCCATTGGCCATGAAATGACAGAGAAGTCATCCCTCTGCAGAAGCCTGCTGTGTGCATCATGGAATCACCGTGTCTGTATGGGCACGATTGCTTTAAGAAAACAGCCCTGCTTCTTCACAAACTCTAGTCATTTCACTTGGAATCTGTCCATCAAGAAATTAGGTCTGCAGAGTCCAAAGCAAGCTCCCTAGAGCTTTACAAACAAGCTGGCCGGCAAGGCAGCGCCTCCTATGGTGTCTCTGTGGAGCGCTAAGATCTGTGGCCCCTTTGCCACATGGGGTGTGCGCTCAGATTCGGTTATGAACATATCGGCCTCTCTCCACCCGCACTTAGGAACAGAAGGTGTGGGGACTCCAGGAACTTCATGAACTGTTTGCTGTGGTCTTCTGTCCCGGGATAGTCCGGGTCTCACTCCCAGCTCTCCGGAGCTTAACCCTCCCTCTCAGGGGAATGTTTGAAATCTACGAAGAATTCTCAGGAATTCGAGGTAGAGGGTAGCAGAGAGACTTCCGTTCCTGGGGGCCCAGCTGTTTGTGCTGATGCTGTCCTCTTGGCGTCTGCCCTAGTGGGGACCCTTGGTTCTGACTTGACGTTCCTGGACTGCGTCTGACCTTAGCATGTGTGTCTGAGTGATGGACTTGGTATTCACACCAGCCACGCTGATAAGTGCACATGTGTTTTTAATGTTTTGGCTTTCCACACCACAAACACACAGATGTGCTGTCGCCTGGGCTAGGACTTGAGGAGAGTTTTTCTATTTAAATCAATCAATCATTCATCCATCTATCTATCTATCTATCTATCTATCTATCTATCTATCTATCTATCTATCTATCTATCTGTGTGTGTTTAAAAAAGTGTCCTCCCAAAGCTAATACCGTTGCTAGCAGGACTTCCCGCCACACCGGGCAAAGTCCACCCACTGCCCCAGTGTTGAGGGCCACCGTGGGCGGCCCCACCTGGAGAGGCGCTGCTCACAGCAAACAACTCCAACTGCGCCCTCGCCTCGCCTTCCAGGGAGCCCAGCCAGGCCCGCTGGGGATTTACAAGCTTCAGCGTTCCTGAAGCTCCCTCGCTTCAGCGTTCCTGACCCCCAGTTAATTGGGAAACGACCTGTCTGCACCACAGCTAGAGAACCGAGGAGAGGAGCCTCTAGTCTAAAGGGCTGTTGGTTGAAATTAGGAAACAGTGTTAAAAAAAAAGAAAAAAGAAAAAAAGTTTGGGAGGCCAAGGGCAGGCGGATCACCTGAGGTCGGGAGTTTCGAGACCAGCCTGCCTAACATGGTGAAACCCCGTCTCTACTAAAAATACAAAAA